AGCCCCAGCCCCACCCAGAGACCTCAGCCCCCAGCACCCTGTGCCAGCCCCAGCGCCCTGTGCCAGCCCCAGCCCCGGAGCCACCCAGAGATCTCAGCTCCCAATGCCCTACCCCAGCCCCTGGCCCCACCCAGAGACCGCAGCTCCCAGCCCTGCTGTACCCCGGCCTGCAGCACCCCATCTCAGCTCAAGGAGGAGCCGTGCATGCGGGGACCTGGGGATGGCTGCGCTCTGCTGCGTGTCACGCCCGTGGGATCCCTGGCATGGGGGCACAGTCTGGGGGGAGATGCCCTGGCTCCCCCCTGTCCTGTGTAAAGGGGCTCAGGCACGTGCCCCCCAACACCCTCCATTCTGCCCTGCAGACCCCTCTTCCCCCTGGCCTGGGGCCTCACCCCTGAGACCAGCCAGGGGACACTGACTGGCTGCTGCGTGCTACGAGTTTGCTGGGTCTCAGCTCAGTCTGTAGTGGGCAGGTCCCCCCCCAACACTAACTGTCCAGTTGCTGGCACGGACCGAAGGGGGAGTAGGCTGGGGGGAGCTGAACCCCGTCACGGACTCACAGATCGTGCCCACTCTTGGCCCCGTGCGGTCCGTGGGGGGTGCCCCTTTCAGTGCGACAGCCCTTCTTGGGGGTCCACTCTCTCTCGGGGTCAGGCCCCTCCACCTCCTGGAGCCACATCTCTCTGAGCCTTAGCACGTCTGTCTCTGCCGTGGGCCCCCTCAGGGAGTTCACTTGCTCTGGACCCCCGGGGCCTCCACCCCCGAAGGGGTTGATGCAACCCTGTTCTCTAGACCGGAGTGACTCCCAGCCAGAGTAAAACAGGAGGATTTATTGAGAGTTGAACACAGCCCAGGAAACTCTCAGGGCCTCAGGCCTGGCCTCCCTCAGCCCAGCACATCCCAGTCCCACCCCCTCTGCATGCAAACCATTGAAACCCCACCAAAAACAAGAAAACAAACAAGAAAATCCCACACTTCCTCACACACACACACACACACACACGGCGCCCCAGGGCGGGGCCCCACCTGGTTGAGCGGGATGTCCTGGCCCACCATGCAGCGCAGGCAGTAGATCAGTGCCGAGAGGGTGATGGCACGGGGCGCGTTGCAGTTCCCGTACACCTCGGGGCCAGAGCCGGAGAAATCAAACACTGCACTGCCCTGCAGAGAGCTGGGCTCAGAACGGGGCTCTGCCCCCCCCCACCCCCGACTAGGCGTCAGCCCAGCCGCCTGGCCCCCCCTTCACCCCAGCCTGGGTCAGCCCAGCACCCACCTCCCCCATCAGAGTTGCCCCAATATCCTAGCTCCTCCCTCCTCCCCTACAGATTCACACACCCCCCCGCGTCACCCCCAGCCCCCTCCCTGCAAACTCATCTGATGGGAGGTTACCTCTGCCCCTGGGTCCCCCACCTTTGGGTTAACTCTCCTCCTGCCAGCTGGCTCCCCACAACTCTCTCCTCCTCCTGCTACTCCCCCAGTTCCTCCCCCTGCAGATCCCCCTCCCCCCAAGAGCTCCTGACATCAGCCCCGACCCCCAGCAGAGAGGCCTGGCTCACCTCCTGTGGGTCCACCTCCACCTTCAGCTGGATTGGGGAGCCGTCGTCCATGTGGTCCTGCGCCTGCACTGCTATGGGGCGCGTCGCTCCCCCGCAGCGAGCGGCGAAGTCCTTCAGCATATCCCGCACCACCACCTCCGCGTTGGCCTGTGGGGCACAGCGGGGCAGTGAGGGGGACCGGGGCTATGCCAGGGCCGGGGCGCGGCTGGGAATGGGACGTGGGGGGACAGGGGAACCCAAGGGTCCCCCTGCTTTGCACACAGATCAGGGCACACCAGCCCCAGGAACCCGGACCAGGCCCCTCTCCTGCAGCCCCCCCTTACCTGGATGTGTGTCATGTAGGCCTGCACCACCTCCAGCCCGTACAGGCCAATCAGCTCGCTCACCAGCTGGATCCCCTTCTGATTGGCCGCCACCTGCGCCCGTAGGTCCGACAGGTTGTCCTGGAGTTTGCGGGAGCCGCTGCTGCCTGGGATGCGGCTGGGAGCCATCAGGGCCTCGGTCACAGCTGCTGAGAGGAAGGGCAGGTATGAGTGGGCCCCTGGAGACAGGTGCCAGCATGCACCATGGGCTGCACTGCATGCTGGGATATTCACTCCCCACGCGGCACCCTGGTTCCCAGGGTCTCGACTGGGCAGGACGGTGCTATCGGAGGACGAGATCTACCCAATCCCCAGCCTGGGCCTTGGGGAGGCAAACAGCCAGTGAATAAATCCTGCACCCCCCGCAGGGCTCGGAGACCAAGCCCACCCTCCCTGCTGGACCGGAAGGGGAGCTCATGCCAGGGTCAGGAAGACAGCTCCCCCGCGGCCAGAGCGCAGGGATCCCTTCGGGAGTCTCCCATCCGCATGCAAATCTAGCCCAAGGCTGCTTAGCTGCTCCCCCCAGCTCATGCATGGAGCCCCCATCCTGCCCCCAGCAGACTCACCCTCCTCCTGGAAGACACCGGCCTTCACCAGCTTAAAGGAGACGAAGACGGCGCCTTCCTCCTGCAGCGCCTTGGAGTGCGAGGGCATGGAGCCAGGCGTGATGCCGCCGATGTCTGCGTGGTGCCCACGGCTGGCGACGAAGAACACGGGCCTTGGCACCCCTGGCCAGAACACCTGGGAGGGGAAAGCAGCTGGAATCGGGGCCAGGGACCCACATGTCCTGCTGGGGCTCAGAGCGGGGCACAGCAAGGTGTAGGGCAACCCCCATCCGCTCCCCCTGCCTTTGGGCCACCCACTGCCCTGAGTCACCAGCCTGCCAGCCCCGCTTGGCCTCTGGCCTCTCTGTTGAGACCACAGTGCCCTGGGGGCTGGCACCTCTGGGGTGGGGACAGCTGCCTGCTCAGGAATGGGCTGAGACCCATAAACTCATGTCACTCGTGGGCCCCAGGGCTGCCCCCAGACAGAGAACGGCTCCTGGCTGGATCTGACATGGGGAGCTGCAGCCCAGCGGCACCAGCTGCCCCTTGCCCGGGCCCTGCCGGTGGTACTCACAGGTGTGATGACAGTCAGGTCTGGGAGGTGGCTGCCCCCCGCACATGGGTGGTTGCTGAGGATCACGTCACCCTCGTTCAGGTCAGCCCCGAGGTTCCGGATCTGAAACGGCACCGAGAGCGGTGCTCAGGGGCCACCCAGGGGGAGCCGCAGGCCCAGCCCACGAAACACAGAGCAAGGGGACAGGGGAATGCCAAGGAGGTGTGTGCTGGGGTTATGCCTACCTGGAACTGGACGGCCTCCTGCATGGCACCCAGGTGCACGGGGATGTGGGGAGCGTTGGACACCAGCCCCCCGTCCGGCCCGAAGAGGGCACACGAGAAGTCCAGCCGCTCCTTGATGTTGGTGGAGATGGCCATTCTCTGCAGGCTCCGGCCCATCTGCTCTGCAGGGCGAAATGAAGCGACTGCTACCGACGCCAAGGAGGGAGCTGTTCCCTAGGAATCCCAGCCCCACGGGCACCCCCCATGGCCACGCACCCACCCTTCCCACAACCCAGGCAGCTCAGAGGCTGGGCAGAGTCTCCCTCCATCCCTGCCTCCAGCTGGCATCACGGGTCCGTCTCTCCCCCACTTCCCCAGCCCCAGCCTGTCTGCACTTCGTATCAGTGCCACACACTCTCCGTGCACGAGCCTTCTTCACCGCCACCCCAGCGGCCTCTGTATCATGGACCCGGCAGCTCCTCCCAAATCTCAGCCACAAACGCCTCTCATCTCCCTGTCCTACATGCCTCTCCGAGCCCCACACCCCCTGACTGAACCAGGGCGACCCTTGGGCGACAGTTTGTTTGAAAGAGGCTGTATGAAATGCAGCTGCCTCTGGGGTGGAGCATGGAACAGCTAGGTAACAGCCACACAGCAGGGCTCTTCAGCAGCTTGGGACAGGAAGTGAAGGAGAGTCTGTGCTCCAGCTGAAGCTGCAGGGGGAATTTGGAGAGACAGAAGGAGCTCCACCTGATTAGAATGGGGCCAGGACAGTGGGATTAACACCCCAACTCTGGGGTACGTGTTCCAGAGACCCTAGCAACACATCCAGCTGTGCAGCGCCCCCTAGTGTTGCACTGGGGTCAGCACTAACTGCAAGGGGACCTCCTGGGCCCCCATGCTGCTCCCAGCAGCTTCTGGCCTCCTGGGAAGTCTCCCATCCAAGCACTGCCCTGCCCAGCCCCCCGGGCTTGTGGGATGGGCCCAGCTGAGAGCACTCCAAGTGGGGATTTTCTGTAGTATCTTTATGAAGCCTAAGTGTGGCTCTATGGCGACCGTCGGGGGAGGGGGAAAGGGGGCTGCTTTGTCTGAAATGGTGAGGGGCTGCTGAGGCCTAGTGGTCGGAGCCAGACTCAGGCGTCCGGACGGGGTTGGCCCAAGAGCAAGGCTGGAGCGGGACTAGGAACAGGGTGGGCCTGGGCCCAAGAGCAAGGCTGGAGCGGGACTAGGAACAGGGTGGGCCTGGGCCCAA